TTTTAATTAATAAATGTTAATATATTTGCGATATCATTCTTTCAAAAAATGTATAAATCCAACAATAAAACTAAAACGTTTCCACTACAATACCGTATTTTTAATAAAACGGTCTTTGACTGTACGGTCTACTTAGTCTCTGTTTCTTGTGGAATGTGTGGAAGTCTTCCAGAATACACAGCATTCGATAAAAATTTATCAAAGTTTTCACCCTTTGTCTATTTCACGTTAGAGGGCTCTACTAATAAAATTTGAAAGAGTAATAATTAAATTTTAAAATAAATTTTGATATTAATTAATACTCCGTTATTTAAAATTTTATTATAATATAAAATGAAAATAGAAAGTTTTACATTTAGATATTATAAACTTAACATTTTTTGCGCCAAGTACAAAATACACCACAATGTAACATATCTTTTTGCTATTAAAAACACACACAGGTGTGAATTGTTCGATTCCGTTTCGGAAATTTCCATTCCAAAGGTACGTTTGCTTTGGGCGGCGATCACTAAAAAAACCATTCAAATTTTGTAACTGGTAGATCAAGAAAGGCTCTCAGTAGATTGTTAAAGTACGTATCATCATACACATGACAATTTGGAATTATGTTTGGGTACCTAAGTGACCGAACTTGGTAAGATAATTTTTAAAAACGAACTATATACCACGGACCTTGCGTATATAAACACAACCAAGAACCAGATTGTACGTATACTGTACATTACTCCTCATTTTTGTGATCACAGTAATAAACTGCATATACTAATTACAGCTAGATGGCTCGTATGGCCTCTTGCACTCTTAAGTGTCGAGCTGACACTAAAATTATGTCTGTTTAAATTTGAAATATTACTTCAGAAGCCAATATCGAACACTTAAGCGTTACTTAAGTGAAGTGTGACTTGTAAGACTGAGTCTGAATATAGCGTCAATCTAAACTTTGTAATCAGAGTATGTGAGTTTTAAGCGCTTCTTCGCCATCTAGTGAGCGAAAGCAAGAAAACACAATTCAAAAAGAAAAATTGAGTTTTAAACAAAAAATACTGCATACTTTTAAGCGCAAATACATTATAAACCTGCGCACACAGATGCGCTACGATATTGCACAATATCGTAAGCTTGAAGTTAACGATAAAAATGAAGGGATGCCACCAGATGCTGTGATTTAAATCAAAAAAACAACGTTTAATAAATAAATAAAATTTTTTTTATCAATTTTTTTAAAAAAGTACAAAGCTTCGGTCAACAAAACCAGTCGAATTTATAAACTATTTATAAAAATGTTATGAAATTTTGACTTGCAACTTGCATACTCCCAACAAATAATATGGATTGGTTAATAATATTGCCATGTATAGTGTTGTCATACCAAAACAAAAATTAGTTAACAGTTGTTGCTGTAGAATTGCCTTTGATTTTATTGAATATCGACAGAGCCTTATTCTGAATTAATGGCATGCCATGTTTGGTTCAATGGCATTCTTCTTTGATTCTGATTTTCCATCCAAATCGATAGAAGGGACTTCACTTTTACAATTAATGGACTTCTATTTGTCGTAACTTGTTTGGTCTGCAAATGAGTGACAACTTTCCATAGTCCTTCATCTTGTCCGTATCACGACAACAAATTGTTCTTACAGTAGTTGGAGCTAAACTTAAAGTTATTGTGTGAGACGATATAATTGGGTTATAATATAATATATAGAAAAGTACATACTCTATGAGTTGTTGAAATATTCTATATTCTTAGAAGAAAGGGATGAAGCAGAAGAAGAAGAAAAAGAAAATAATATTTAAAATAATGATAAATACTGAGGTAAGTATAGTTTTGATTTAAAACTGGTTGGTCCGTAAATTGGTTAGTCAAGCCACAAAAGCAAGTTTTCTGGTCAAAGAGTTAACGTGTGTATATAGTGTTTCAACGTATTTATGTCCAACTTTTTAAAATTCTGATTTCGTTATACGTATTTCAAGATTTTTATAGATATTCTCATTTCATTATCCTTGTGTTTATAACTAAAGTTTTAATTACCATCTATTGTTTAATACTGACTGTTCGATGACCTGATTGTCAATGTGCTAGTCCATTATTACGTAGAGCAGTCTTCAAATTTTAAATCAATTGTTTAAAGTTCTTATAATAACTTCTTATATATACAGGTCTCAGGCCCCAGTCTACCCCTGAAAAATATTATTCGAGTTAACCATTTCATTATTACTATAATTTATGAATAAAATCTTTTATATTTGCTAACTGGAAATAATTAGTAAATAAGAAATTTGGAACTTAGGGAAATGTGTGTAGGGTAATAAAGCAACCAAGCCTTATATATTGAATTTGATATTTAATATTTAATAACACTAAATTTCCGCTAGAATTAGATTATATATTCAATCATACACAGTTTTTCTGTTAATATAGATAATATGTTTTAATGCGAAACAATTTTGTTAGTCATTAGATCGCTTTTGGAGTGCTTGGTCAACCATTAAGTTGTTTGTTATCTGATTTGAACGATTTCCCGTTGTGTTTATTGCGAGCATTTAATTTAAGTTTTTTAATTTTTTTTACTTCAAGTAGAAAATAACAATCATTATTATTGTATTTTTATACACATTAAATTTTAAAAAATATTCTAGTCATATACAGAAGTCATCTTCTACCAAGTGCTTTTATGAAATCACTTATTACGTTCTAGTAGAAATTTTCTAGTAGAAAATCTAGTAGAAATTTCAACTAATTATTAATTTCGATAACTTGAAGGTAGACTTTAACATCGGCCTTCCAATCGTTGTAGGCTCCAACTATTATTTTTATTAGATAGTCACCAGTCGGCAAGGGCGCATATTTCAGATGTGAATCTTTCACAACGAAATTCTTCACAATAATGTCGTGCTAAATAAAAAAAAATAAAGAAGAAAACTGTAAAACGCATATGAGTAAGTAAAATGATATCTGAGGATATCTTACATTATAAGGACATGTGTGATTGATGTTTGAGCTTTTAGTAAAACTGTTCAAAACAATATTGAGCACCGGGAAACGTTTCCTATTAGCCATAAACTCGCAAAAATCTGCTGTGATGTTATAAAGAAATGGACGATAGCCACTTGCTTTCTTGAAAAGATTAACATTAACCTTTAAGTTAAAGTTTAGATATATTCATTTTAAAAAAAATTAAACCAGAAATAAGTGTGTCTAAACTTACGCTGACATTATTTACAGGAACCTGATGAAGCACGACATGTAGGTTGAGCGCCACTATACCGCGTTGAATAATTTTCAGACGACAGTCATTGAAAGAAGCGAATGGCCTATCGAACTCTACACATTTTATGTTGGTAAGCTTAACAGCTGCTTCTACACAAACTCCATTAAAGGTGATCACATCTACTATTGCTACATAGAAGAGAATCGATCGTGCAAGACCCATGTACTCTGAAGTCATGATAGAAAATGACTAAATGGAAAATATTTTCAAATTGTTGAAACACGTTTTAAAATAAGTGATCAATTATTTTAAGCATTTTAAATCTCATTAAAATATTATTAATAATTCCCTTTAAATGCTGTTATTTTCAATAAAGTAAAAAGAAAATTAAATTTTATTTTCGGCATGATCGGTTTCAATAAATTAAAGTTAATTCATTTTATGATACATTAAGTTAGCTTATTCAACTTAATAAATAATATGTACAAATTATTAGATATATTATATATTCATATATAAAATTCTAATTTTCCACTTTCTGGCAACAAGGGGAAGAGTATTTGAATTTACTGTCAAATAAAATAGCTTCTATTTTTATCAGCTGATTTAAAAAATATCTCATTCAGTCATATTTTGGTGTTCAGACCTCCAGTCACTGATTGAACTCAATAGACTGGAGCTGCACAATCTAGTCTCCAGTTATGGAATCCAGCTTTGTGGTTACAAGTCCATACCTTCAATATTGCCGACATATTGTTTGCTATTGAAACTTACATTAAACATCTCAAGCAGACACCACGAATCCCTAAATCCATCTTCTAAGTGTGACAACTCCATCACAGGTATCCCGTCCTAAAAAGAAACTTAAGTTTCTCTTTCTTTTAATATCTTTTTCTTCATACTCTTCACCAAATGAAGCAACTAATGAATTTAATTTAATAATAATTTCAACTAATGAAAATATATTAGTTAATAGAAAAATTATCTGCGGTTTTTTGCAGATGGTGTGGTCTCTCACACATCTAACAGCTCTTATTCCATTATGTCAAACGAATACTTCTTTGGATGCTAAAATTTCAGGCTAAATTTACATTTTACAAACAATTGTGGGACTCAATGCTCTTGTAAAAAGTTGTTGTTATAAATGGATTTCATCGTCGCTACCGCTATAACTAACAACACCGACGTCAGTCTAGAGCCAAATAGAAAGATGATCATTGCCAATAAATGTAATTATGGGCTCAAGAGGCAATTTGGATCTAGAGCGCCTAGAGCGACTTATGCAATATAAGACGCTCAACCTACCTTTGCGTTTATATAGCTCAAAAGCATGGACATAGCTACCACTGAATGTGACATAGCACTGTGAGAGTTGACCCATTAAATTGAGGGAAAAATTCTGACAGAATCACTCAGAGCTTTAAAACCAACTAAACCGTTTGCCAAAATGATAAAATGCTTAAAATGCTATTTAATGGGAGGTTTTGCAGTTGAGGTAGATCTTAAAAAAAAGAATCTGCCTAGTATAGAGAGGCGGCGCCGCGCATGTTCTGGGCAAAAACAAACCAGTTGAGAGGCACTTTCAAGGTTCTCTACATAACATGTGATGGATATAGTAATTGTAAGGGAGACTCAATCTTCTAGCTTGGTTTCTTAATCTGCAATAAACTGTGAGTAAACTTACCACAAAACTGATATCTCTACGGGACATATCAATGAGAGTATTGGATTTTCTTTTAATGGAACGTGTCCAACTTGCATACAGATGTCTACATACCGATGAGTCTTCTCATCTTTTTTTAAGAATTTCAGCACAGAAGGAACTCAGTAACAGTTTGCATAATGGCAGCAATATGCGCAGTTTATTTAGATGTCCCAAGTGATTTTCTAAAGCACCCCGTTGGATAGCTCGCCTGATTTGCATTTGACAAAAATATCTCTATGAACGGACACTCAGATTAGATATAATAGTAATAATAAAAAAAAGAGTTTTCAGTACGTTATGGTTGCAGTATGGTTTTACTTTCAGAGTTAATATCGCTGTATTGAGAAACTTTTCAAGACGACTATTAACTATATCTTATAACAAATAAGCAACAATTTTAATATTTTCCTTTCCAATTACCTTCACATCATTCCATTAATAACTACTTTTACAATCAAATTGACTTTAGTCATTAGTTAAAATATAGTAGAGAGGTTAGAGACAGTAGTGAGATACAACAACAAAAATTATTTATATTATTTCAAATTAAATGAATAAATGGCTGACACTATAGTATAGCTATTTCCAGTATTCAAATATTGGTTAATAATTTCTTGAGACTGCAGGTAGCACGGGTTGAGCTCATATCCTGCCAAATTTGAAGCTCAGAGTCAGTGTTCGTTAGCCAACTGACCCATATTTTATTAAAATATTATAAAAATTAATATAATATATAAATACACTTAAGTTGTTTCTTTTCAGATAGCTCTTTCAATCTATTACTTTCTTCTCTTTACCATTACTTTAACTCCGTTTAATCGGCGGAGTAGATTAATAACATATTAATTATTAAATTTTAATATCTTTTTTTGCTTTGTTTGTTTTCTTTTTTTTTTATTTTTAGCAAAAAATTAGATTAGCACACTTCAATTAAAAATGTTTTGCCAACAGAAGTGCACCAAAATGCAAAAGAAAAAAATGCTTTATTATTGTTTCACAACATGAAAATTGTGTCGGTCATAAATTGGTTTTAGGAAGTTAATCCTGGGTACAATGCCTTAATGGTAATCAAACAAGGTCTTACTCGAATTCAGCTCCTGTCATGAATGCAAAAACATTTTTGTTGGTATTTTAAAATTTTAGTTCATTTCTGTTTTATGGCATTTTAATGGAATAACATCCTTGTAGCTCCTACTAACGAACAAGTTGCCACACCGAACCCCAGAGGCAATGCCATTTTTTCACATTTCTCTCAAATGAATGTTCATTTTCACATATGCCAAATGAATCTAAATATTTTTTCTGTTTTCTTCTTGGTAGTTGTGCTGTCAAGTCATTGATGTTGTTAAATTTTCTTATTTTCATTTTTATTGCGATTGTATATCATCCATAACGTTTTATCCTTGTGCAATCACTTGAAGAACTGCTATTGTAAAGAGAAAACAAAAGGACATAAGTTCAAGTGTATACATAACATATACTGTCCGTATAGAGTTCCATTAAAAATACTTCTTTATGCGGTAAATTTAGTTCTCTCTGCCATTAAAATTTACTTAATTTCAACTCTCCGTCTTTGACTTCTAGCACTTCATTTACTATTACTTAACTAAGTAACTTCTATTGCTCACCCTATTGCCTATTGCTTATTTCAGATATCTGAGACCAGTTCGATTTCTGGCGAAGTGAAATTTCTTTGAAGAGTTCAATTACAGTCACTGTCTATGTCTATGTCCGTCTGTCCAGCTGTCTGCTAGTGAAAGCGTAATAGCATTAAAAAATTATGAAAAATTTTGCATGTGTGGCTGGATGAAATATTGCGCGCTCAGCATAAATGCTTATAATGTGTGCAGTGGCCGTGTGAATATTTATTGTTTCGATTATAAATCATCACACCATAAACGCATTTGGAACAACAAGCTATTGCAACTGCAACACAAATGCAACAACGTCAATATTACCACCAACAGTAGCAACATCAGTTTTGTAGTTGAACTTTATTTGCAACGAGTTGATTTCTCTTATTAGGGTTCCCTTCCACATCGAAACCATTTCAAATGCATAAAACGAAGATGAACAATATAGTCTAATATATATGTCTTAGTGGCAGTATATAGATTTTAAAAGATATTCCTCCTTTTGGATGCTGTGCCATTTATCCACTCGATACAAGAGCAGTTTTACTTCAATGTAAAGCATCAAATTCTTGGATAATGTTGGGCCTTAGGGTATCTTGTTCAAAAATTTTATTTTTCATTTTTCTATATAATCTGCTGAAGAGTTAGATATCCTGGATATTTTATCTGGAGATAAAATATGTTCCGCTCTTCTCTATTTTCCGGCTAGAAAATTGTTTGATATGGCACCGGCTGGAGAAAACGCTGTGAAGAACGTCCGCATCTTTGGTGGAAAAACCAGTTATCTAATGAGAGGGGAGCGCTCGGTAATACCAACTGTTGACACTGTATGGGCTGGCTGTCGGAGGCTACTGAACGCGGACAAGGACGACTCACATCGGTAATGGCTGACTAAGAAGAAGAAGTGACTATACAAACAGGAAACTAAAATTGATTAATTTACTCAGTAAAGATCAAATGTACATTACTTTTATTCTGGATAAAAAATTGGTTGAAATAGTACAGGTAGATTTTTAATCAGGAATACCGCTATCATAAAAAATAGTCTAGAAAACGAATCTCTAAAAGGCATTTTAAGATAAGAGCTCTGGAGTTATTCAATGAATCACTTAAATGGTCTACGTGGATTTTATCACAGACTCGCCTTTAAACCTTACTAATTTTTGCGATTTTTGGATATCAAGACGAGGTGACAGAGGTGGCAAACAGCAACATATAAACTATAATACGAATACAAATAAGATATGTATATAAAATCCATTTTAACCATAAATTTATAGAAAAAATGTATAAATCTTAGAACTTGCAAGATTTCTTGTGCCTCCTTTTTAATATAATCAAGCGAACAGATAGTTTGGGAAGTGCTTTCTTAACAGTTTGTCAGACCTGTTAAACCACCTAAAATTACGTGGATGAATCTACTTTATTTGCAGTAATAACAAAAGATATATTAAAGTAAATAGTTTCAAGTAGATGGATCTATTTTATTTAGTTAGTTGAGTTAGTTAGCTGAAGTAGATGGAGGAATGAATACTCCCCAATTAGCAATGAAAGCCGTTTTGAATCTACAAATTCTCATAATAATGGGTGGAAGAATGTCAAGCAAGAATCAGTCAGAAGCATTTATAAAGATGAGAGTCTGGCCAATGCCGGCGCTTCGCGTGTTAAAGAAGGGGGCCCCCAAAAACTTAAACCTAGTTGTGGGCAAGCCTGGACATAGACACAACAGGCAACAATACATTCAGATTGAACTTAGCTATTGAGTTCACTTCTTAGATTACTTTAAGTTGCCTAATTGCAAACTAGTTAAGGTTATATTAGCCTCATTGCGAACAATAAAGACGTCTCAAAGCGCTAGGTTTATGTCTATTATCATAATTCTTTATACTTTCCTAATC